ATAAAACCACACACACATTTACAGATATAAATAAGTTATGTTTATATATACACATAATCCCAACTATAATAATATAAATGACAGATACAAAGGTAAAAATTTGTAGGAAATAACCTAAAATGTTGATTTTTGTTACCTTTGGGATATCTGATGTTTGGTAATTTATATTTTCTTTAAACTTTTTAGTTTCTAATAATATACATATATTACCATTCATAGTATGAATAGATTAAAGTGTATGTTTTAAGAAGGCAGGGAGTAAAAGAAATGTCATTAAATAATTGCTTATGAATAATGAGAAATCAGCAAGGTCAGTAATCCATCATGAAGGAATGATAGGTTAATTGGATAATCTAGGAAGAGCAGGAACACCAGTTGAGAATGACAAGCTTTTTGGATTTTTTCATCTTCATTAACTTTCTTTATAAAAGACATCTAACAAAATACCTATGTATTAAAACTGCTTCGGAAAGTGGAATTATTGGAAAGAATGGTGAGCTCTGTGTGTGTGTGTGTGTGTGTGTGTGTGTGTTTCTGTAGGTCTGTTCAGCTATTTTTTTGGTGACATTTTCCTAATAATACCTAATTGGCTGCAGGTGTTCAGCTTACAGACTCCCAGAAGATATATATAGACTCATCGATGGTGAAGATTAGATTTGAGAATATGGATACAGTCTACAAACAGGGACTCCCTTATTTTGGCCAGGTAAGAGAAGTGGTCATTTCTTTACATACTTATTCATCCATTCATTCATTTGTTATTTATTTGCTCATTCATTTATTTATTCATCCATTCAGCAGCTATTTCCTGAGAAATTACTATACAAGAAGCATTGTAGGGGGACCTACTGTTGGTTTTCACAGGACTGTCCTGGTTCATGCCTTTCGTCAAGTTATAACATTAGTAGTGGTTATAGCCATTTCACTCTCAAAATGTCCAAGTTTGGACAATAAATTATTTAGTTTGTATCAGTATTAGGAATAAAATGGTGAAGTAGACAGGCACCACCACTGCTGCCCTCATGGAGTTTATATAGAGAAATATAGAGTTTATATAGAGCTTAACAGAGAAAATAGACACCAAACAAATAATTTTGCAAATAATTTTTTAATTATCATCATGATAGATGCTATGTCAGTGAAATACTGACCATTTAATTACTTGTCCAAGAAGGGAACACTCCTACACTGTCAGTGGGACTGTAAATTAGTACCACCACTATAGAAAACAGTATGGAAGTTTCTCAGACAGCTACAGATAGATCTTGCATATGATCCAGCAATCCCACTTCTGGATATATGCCCAAAGGAATGGAAATCATCATGTGAAAGGGATACCTGCATTCCCTCGTTCACCATGGCTCTGTTCACAATAGCCAAGATGTGCCAACCTAAATGTCCATCGATGGACAATTGGATAAGGAAATTGTGATGTATACATATATATATATGTATATGTGTATATATATATATATATATATATATATATATATATATA